TTTCTTATTGGATGTTTATGGAACATTGGTTTCAATATTTGAATTAATTGAAGTTGATTGTATGGAACAAAGCTTTTAAAAAGTCAGGAGACGTGAGAAGACAGTCTAGCCTTGGAATATTTCTTGAACTTTAGTTGTTTTAATGACTGTCTTTCCGTGGGAGTTTTTGCATGAAACTTGGTAGAAATGTTGTTCATACATGGAAGTTTTAGCATACCAAGTTTGATGTAGTTCCAATGCCAAATCGATGGTCAAATAATATTTCAAAGATAGCCTTTCAAATCTGGATAATGTTCAATCTATCCTTGTTTTTAGCTAACTTTGAGCTACTATATCTTGATGCTCGAAACTCCGATTTTATTTCGTTTGTTGTGTTTTAAACTTTGATTGGAATTCTAATTGAAGTACAAATTTCAGAGGCTAGTTCACTTTCTGTAATTTTTTCCGAATTTCCAAAGTTTATCGAAAACTAAGGCTGAAACTGTCATGGGAGTCCAAGTCAGCCCCTTTAAACCGAAATTTGAGTATCTTCCATTTGGAATCTTAGGAAAGTGTCTTCTAGCAAATTTTGTACTTTGGAACTAGTTTCCAACGGTACAAATTTTTCTAATTTTGGACTTACTGAGTGTAAGATATGATTTTTCTAGGCTTGACGCACAAAGCTGAAATTTGCCGATTTCTTAGAAAATAAAATTTTGGAAACTTGACTTCTCATCATGATATTAATCTATCGTTTTGAACCCGATTTCATGGAGGATATGAGTTTCATCAGTAACTTTAAAATCCATACTTTTGAATTTTAACTTTCGATAAAATGAAACCCTTATAAAGACATTGACTTGAATTCTAAAGCAAGTGTGCATTCTTTCTTGGTTGATAAGGAATTTGTGAAATTGGGAGGGTGATTATTGGTCTCATTTCTTCAGGCGATCAAGAAGGTCTCGAAGAGAATCCCGAAGTGGATCATTGACGACTTTCTTTACTCACTTATTTTGATTGGTGAGTGTTCCATATAGGAGTACGTGACTTGAATAGTTTTATGACATGTTTACTCCATGGTCATTATGTGTTTAACTATTAAGTGCTATCGATAATTGCTCCTATGAACTTTTTCACCATATTAAAGAGAGTGTATACTTTATCGTACTCGACCTACTAAAATGGTAAATGTCTACCGATTAACCGTGAACTACTACCGTTTACCGATTACCATTTACCGTTTACTGTTTACCATTAACTGTGATTACTTACTGTTTACCGATTTACTTGATTACCTGCTTACTTGATTACTTGACTACTTGATTACTTGATTATTGTAAATTACATGTTCTTATGAAATTACTGCATATTGCTTACGTGTTTAAGTGTTAAAGTGTTACTAATAATTGCTCATATGAAATTGCCCACCGTTTTAAGGCGAGTGTGTACTTTATCTCACTCGACCTACTAAAATGACAGATTTTTACCGTTAACCGAGAACTATTACCGTTTACCGTTTACTGATTTACTTGATTACTTGTGCAGGTTGTAAGCTCTAAGCTGAACTGGGTCCTGCCCTTGGTTACTAACCTGCTCCAGCCAGGATTGGGCTCGGTCGAGTAGGTTGGAATCCTGAGACACCGTTTCGGTATACTCGAGTATTACCATTGGAGGGATAAGGTGATGGTCAGACAAACCGAGGGGATCTGAAGTTATAAGGTGAAGTTGACTGAAATGGTTCTATTGGAACACCGTATCCTTCAATATGTGTTTATTTCTGTATCATGATAACTGTTTTATGTAAATGTGCCAATGTGAAATCTTGAACTGTATATGTATCATGCTTAACTTACATGAGTTATTAGAACTGCTAGAGTGTCTTGGAACTTCACTGGACTGTTTAGCTTATTCCACGTTTTTGTTTTCCGCAACAGGGTTCAAGACCAAGAGTGCTCGCGAATAGTACTAAATTGTTTTCTTTTGAAGATCTTAAATTGTATTATAGTAGACGACGACTGTAGTACATATTCTTTTGGATTGTATTTAAACTTGAAGGTTAACTAGTTGTGTTCTGGAGTATTTTAAATATATATTGAAATTATTCGAAGAATTTCTAGATTTGAATTATAGATTGTAGTGAGTTTCGGCGAGAGTTGGGCAGGCGTTCCGCGGATACCCTAGGATTCGCCCTAGGGAGAAGTGGGGACGTCACAGGGACTATCCCTTAAATAATGAAATAAGAAAATTAAACACATTAATTGGACAATAGTGGTCCTAATTATGATTTTAGCAAATTTGCTTCTTACGCTCTTGTTACCAACAATACATAAACCTTTTTGTTTTGTTACTCCAATAATAAATAATGAACTGGAAACAACAACAATTTATGAGTTTATTTATTTCTTATGATGTTAAGCAATAGAGGAAAGGAGAAAAATTTACTTAGCAGTAGGGCTGCAACATGACCATTTGCAACAGAAACTTGGGGCTTCTTTTCCTGAGCTAGCTCAGGTGACTGAGAAACTATTTCTTTTCCAACCCTAGAACCCACAAAATTTTGCTGACTTCTACTCTCAACTTCACCAATGCCAATACTCTTGACAACCCCATTAGCACCCCTGGGAAAACACAAACCACTACCATTAGCTAAGTTCACCTCAGATCCACCACTCCAGATAAACCCATTAGCCAGAACCACCATTACTGGTGTCAGAAAAGTCCCCTTTGACCCCCTCAAATCAAACTCTTAAGTACACCAAGTTTGCATACAATTTAAATATTAGAACTATTAACGGTCAAATTATTAGAATCACTGACGCTAAGAATCAGCTGTCCAAATACACAAACACCTGTTTCATCGAGAAGCACACAAAGTAGACAATAGGAGTTAAACACAAACAAAACAGCCATTGAAAATGTATGACTAAAAAGAAAATGAAAAGTTGGAATTTTATTCATCAAGATATAATCACTTTAGACACCAGTATTGTTATCAAAATATGAGAATCAAGGATAACAAAAGCTAGTCCTTGAGATATGCTCACATATCGATGGAATAGAAGGAACTAGCCTCTAAGTGAACCAATTTTCTAAACCCTAAGTAAAGCCTAAAATGGGTTGACATCCAAAATCATACCCAAAAGCAAATTATCAAGTGGAACACATGTATATCAATTTTTCAGTTTATCTATTATTGTTAAGTAATTTAACTAAAAAAAGAAGATAATTACTCTGACCTAGAAAACCTGCAAAGAAAAGATGAGAAGAGCAAGTGCTCAAGTCATTTCGAAGTCTGGGCACTGAAATATGCCTAAAATACTGAGACCTGGTCGTAAGAGCATCGCTGCACAACTGTACTTCAATAATTTGAATTTTTGACTATGAAAACTTGAGAACTGGACTTTGATGTCTTCATAAAAGTTGTGGAGAATTCTTGTAGCTTCAAATTGAATCAAGAGTCATCTCAATCGGGTTTGTGTAGGTCAAGTTATCATCAAAATACTGAAACATGTCAATCCTGCCAAACCCGTTCCTCTTGACTTTTTCCTCTTTCATTGCTTCTTCATGCCATGTTTTTGGTTCATTTTCCCTCGAATTGGGCTTTTCACCTATTAGAACAATATACGAGTAAAATTAAGTGGTTTATGCTCAAAATAAATCTCAACTAACATGGTTACTAGCAACTTTTACCTATAAACACACTACAATTTACACCCTATCAAACTCCTCCACACTTAGTCCGTGCTTGTCCTCAAGTACAAGAATAAAATCTATTAAATCCAAACAATGGCTATATTCAAGACTATCATTATTAAATCAACCATTCTAAACAAGTGTCAAGTGCTAATAGTGAAAATCAAAGTTATAGTTCTTCGATTAGCTTTAAACATTATCGACGCTTTCAACTCTGGTTAACTAAATTAGGAATATAAAATATTTAACAAGCATTTCCTTACAAATGGCCCAACTATTAAACAAAATCTCAAACATATAACTATATGGATCCATAGACCATTATTATATCCACATAATTTTGTTTCTTTTTTTTCATATTTTTCTTCAAATTCCCCCACACTTGAATTTTTTCACATTTTAACTAGGGTAATACACTTAATTCTTAGCCGTTTAAACCTTTTGATGCGAACTCCAACATCTCCTTAATGAAAGAGCCCGGTTACTAAGCTTTTCACTGCTAAAAATCACATATTCATAGCTATTGCCATTTTTTGACGCGAAAGTTGACACTTCTAGTTGAAAACCTCTGGTTACTGAGCAACGACAACTAGTGGAGTATAGTTCAACTAAGCAAGATAAGCATATAAGCACAAATAAGAATATAAAGCCTATTTCATATCCCAATAATATGGAGAACTAAAATTAATAATTAGGCTAGATTCACAAGAAAAATACTTGAAAAATATTTACAATGTCTAGAAAAGTTAGCCAAATTTTAAAAAGTCTCAAAATACCAAATATTCACCAAAGAAGCACTTTAAATCAATATCATTTAAGACTTAATAGATTCATACACATATCGCTTTAACAATAATACTCAAAATATAAGCCATTGCCTATCAGGGATTCAACAATAAAAATTTGAAAAATTTTAGCCCAGAATTTCAAAAATTTTACTTCACCCATTTACTCCTCCTCCACACTTAAGACAACGTTGTCCTCAATGTTGGGGATAAAATAAGGAAATAATAACAAGAAAAGAGATGAAAGTGAAGCTCCCCTGATAACAAATGAAATGCCAAAGATCAAGTGGGGTGCGAGAAGTTGCTAATTACCATTTAATAGTCAAGTTTAGGAAGCCATCCTACCAACCTATGAAAAGACAAGAAAACACTATAAATAGGAGTTAAATACACCACCAAATAACCCAAACTAGAAAGCAATAAAATTGTAAGCAAATAAACACCACCATTATCCTAAACAAAATAAAATTATTAAAAAGAAAATTGGGTTGCCTCCCGAGAAGCGCTATGTTTAACATTTTCAACCAGATAGGGTCACAAATATTATGATGGATGAAATGGTTCGGATGATTTCACAATTTCCTTAGCATGTGCCTGCGATTTTGCATAATTTTTCACATCTCCATTGTGCTTTTGAACTGTTGAAGAAAAATATGCATGATGATTTTGCAAGGGGGTGACCTCTACATCTTGCTGTAATACATATTTTTCACCATACAAATCGTTAGAAATAGTAATATAGGAACAAGACTCCTCATACGAAGGGTATTTTAAGGGTTCAAAAACATTAAATTCTTCTTTCTCTTTACCAACCCTTAAAGTCAATTTTCCTTCAAGTAAGTCTATATTAGCCCATCCAGTAGCTAAAAATCCTCTATCAAGGATAATTTGCATAGAAATATCCTCCTCCATGTCAAGAATAAGAAAATCAGCAGAAAAATAAAATTTATCGAATTTAACTAATAAATCTTCTATAATACCAATAGGATAATGCACTGAACGATCAGTCAGTTGTAGAATCGCTTGAGTAGGCCCCAAATTGGCAAAGTTTAATTTCTTGAAAAATGGTAGAGCCATCAAATTAACACTAGATCCAAGGTCACATAGACATTTATCAACAAGAATATGTTCAAATTGACAAGGCACAGTAAAACTCCCTAGATCTTTCATCTTGATAGGAAGATGATTTTGTAGCACTGCACTGCACTGCATTCCTCAATAAGAGACATCTCTACAAAGTCTTCTAACTTCTTTGTATTAGACACTATCTCCTTCAAGAACATTGCATAAGCTGGTATATTAGCAAGAACTTTAGAACAAGGCATGTTTACTAGAAGTTTCTTGAGTAACTCTACAAACTTTTGATATTGCTCATCAGTTGCTTTTTCTTAAATCTTTGGGGGAAAAGGATAGGCGACACATAACTTTTCACCTTAAGCATCTTCATACATTGATTATCTTCATCTTGAGTCTTTTTGCGTGAGCCATTCTCCGAATCTCCAATTCCTTCACTTTCAATAGCAATTTTGCTCCTATCTTGCTTTTCACTTGGTTTAGTCTTGGGTTTAGTGATAGGATCATCCAATACTTTGCCTGAACGAAGAGTCACAGCCATAGTAGTTTCTTTTGGGTTCACCTTAGTGTTGTTAGGCAATTTTCCTAGTACCCTTTTAGTTACTGCCTTTACCAGCTGACAAACTTGCCTTTCATTTGAATAGAGGTTTGTTGAGATTGAGCAAGTTTATCAAACTGGTTCATCTTTTGGTCTACCTTTTGCATGTACTACAACATCATTTCTTCAACATTGGACTTCTTCTCCTGAGTAGGTTGAGGAGGATATTGAGAAGGTTGCTACAAATTTTGAAACCCAGGTAGTCCCATAGGTCTAACCTCTTGATCCTTCCATGAAAAATTAAGATGGTTTCTCCATCCTTCATTATATGTGGTGGAAAAAGGATCATTCCTTAACTACAACTTCTGCCCACCATATGCTTCAGTGAAATTAACATTTTCTACCATGGTAGGAGGATCTCCATTATAGCAACTAGCAGCAGAATGGCCATACATGTGACAATAAGCATATGATTCTTGAGATTGAGCTACTCGATTTAAGAACTGTTGCATTTGATGACTCAACTCAGCTACCTGTGAACCCAAATACTATGGCACATTCACCTCATGCACTCCTACTCTCTTATCTCGAATTGCTTTTTATTGAGAATTGCTAGCAAACAATTCATAGAGACTAACTAATTCCTTCAAAATTTTGTCACCAATATACCCTCCTGCTGCAATATCCATCATATTTTGGGTTGTTAAGGTCAACCCATTATAAAAAATTACACTTGCAACGGTAATGAATATTGGTAGTGAGGACATTGAGAAACTAGTAGCATAAAGTGCTCCCATACTTCATGTATTGGCTTTCCTTCTATTTGAGAAAATATGCCAATTTTGTTTCTTAAATCGATGGTCTTCTGAGGTGAGTAGTACTTGGTCATAAAGATGTTATAAATATCTTCCCATGTCCTCAAAGATCTTTCAGGTAGATGAAATAACCAAGACTTTGCACGATCCTTGAGACAATAAGAGAAGCACCTCATTCGTAAGTCATCTTCTGAGACTCCAATCAAATGGAAAGTTTGGACAACCAAATAAAATTTCCTTATGAAAGAGAGCGGGTCTTCATTGGCTAAACCATGGAAAGCAGGCAACATGTTGAAGTGTACAGTTTTGAACTCATAATTCCTTGCTTCGCCACTTAGCTTGATGCAATGGGAAAAAGCCGTGATTACAAAATGTTGGATGTCCCAAAGGCAAAGTCTTGCGGGTGGTTGCACTACCTATTGTTGATTATTGCCATTATTTCTGTTTTCCTCAGCCATTTCTTCGTCGTCAGAATTGCTTGACTCAACTATTTCTAAGGTAATATGAAATCCTGGTGAAAGATAGTTGCAAAGTTTGTTTTTGCAAGCAAGTTTGCTTCCTCAAATACATTGCAGGTTTTTCAATTTTTGGATCAAAATCCAAATCACCTTTTTGAAATTGGGTCATACACCAATCACCTAAACAAGAAAAATCAAAACTAAAAGTGAAGAACTATAAGTAAAATAAGATAAAAAATAAAAAAAAAATAACCAAAGTAGAAAATTAAGCGTCGTTCCCTGGCAACTGTGCTAAAAGCTTGATTGACAAATTCCTGCAAATGCATAGGGTCAATCGTAGTAATAATTTACTTGGAGTATTTCAAGGTCGAACCCATATGGATGAGTTAATTTTCTACTTTAATTATTCTAACAAAATAACAAAATTCAAATTTAAGGAGTGTATTTTCTAAGCAATAAAAGAAACAATCAATTTAAATAAAGTAGTGGTGAGAAAACAATAGACGTGAGTCTAGGGTTTCAGGTTTAATCTAGAATTTGAATCAATTATCTAGTTAATTTCTTACCAAGTTATGAATGCATCACACAACTATATTTTAGACCACCTCTTGATGCATTTAAAGTGTGTTTAATTAAATCCTACGCCTCCCTCGATGGTTATAAGAGTTCAATTGAACCCATTAAGATTCCCAGTGATATAGGTGCATCACACATACCCCAACTTATTCTCGTGATTAGTCTATGTGTGTTTATCTGTCTAGTACACAGTTGTATTTCTTTTCTCAATTTGATACAAACCCAACATTCATGTTCATGGTAATTAGGCATAAACACGTATTAAGAACAACATAAATAAATCATAGTAAAAGGCAAGAAATTAAACTAGAAAAATTAATCAAATTCTTTCATAAAAATTCTAACCCTAGGAACAATTTAGTTCAACATGATTTAGAGGTTAAAACCACGAATTCAAAAAGTTGCTACAAAGATAAGAGAAAGAGTAAGAAAACTTCTCAATTACTTGCTCCAATCTTCTCCTTGTGCGCTCCTTGATTCGCTTCCATTTGATCTTGATCTCTCAAGAATAAATTATAAAAAGATGTTAAACTAGGATAGACTAATGTTTTTTACCCTAAAAATGACCTAAAGAACCCCTATTTATAGTTTCTTGAAGATATATCCTAAACAGGGTAGGAATAGGATCTATTGGACTCAAAAAATCGTATTTTCGCATATTTATTCGATGAAGACCAGGCCAATGTTTGGTGCTGGTCATTGGACTAAACACAAAGCATAAAAGGGTCTAGAGATGTTTGGCGTGAAGTCATTTGTGAAGTCCGGCGCCGAACATGGATCCGCCAGTGGATCCGTACCGGTCAGCACGTGGATCACTTTTGAAAGCCTCAAAACTCCATCAAATTGGTTGAATCAATTCTTTCTAAAAATACAAAAGTTGTAGTTCTTTGAATAGACTTTCCAACACCATAAGAATCAAGTTATTTAAAAGTCTGGGCACTGAGATATGCCTAAAATACTGAGACCTGGTTGCAAGAGCATCACAGCACAACTAGACTTCAGTAATTTGGATTTGTGACTATGAAAACTTGAGAATTGGACTTTGATATCTCATAAAAATTCTATAGAATTCTCATAGCTTCGAACTGAATCAAGAATCATCTCAATTGGATTTGTGTAGCTTAAGTTATCACCAAAATACTGAAACGTGTCAATCCTGCCAAACCCATTCCTCTTGACTTTTTTCCTCTTTCATTGCTTCTTCATACCATGTTTTTTATTCATTTTCACTTCAATTGAGCTTTTCACCAATTAGAACAATATACAAGCAAAATTAAGTAATTTCTATACAAAATAAAGCTCAAATAACATGGTTACCTAGCAACTTTTACCTATAAACACACTACAATTTACACCCTATCCGTAGAAGTACACTTAAGTTAATTTGCTTGAACATTTCATGTATTAAATGAACTAGATTTACATCTTTACCATGAGACTAAGGAAGACTAGGCTAGTTAATATCATACATCATGAGAATGAGTTTTGATTACTGTTGGAAATAAATCCCTAGTTAGTAAAGAGTAGTAAAAAGAGGTAAATTTATTCACTTGTATTTTTAGACGATTACAATGGATTCTACACCCTTAAACTTTAGTTTTTGGTGCATTTTCTCCATTTATTTTTCTATACAAGTTAATTTAGAATATTAAGTAGTGAATTAATTGCTTTTTATTGCTTTCAATTTGATATTAGTCTAGATAGTAGAGCAAACTAAAGACCTTGTACTTGTTTAATAGTGACGAGCGGGCGTACGCATATAATAATTAAACTCATTTTACAGTCAAGCTTTACATTTCTAAAATTTTAAATACCCTACATGCGATTTTCTACAAGTATATATGTCGTGATTGAGTATAGGATATTAAGGGTGGAATCCACAGGGAAGATTGTCAATTACCGATGGTTTTCGAACTCCTTTATTATTTAGACTATTACAAGCGCAAAAATTAAATCTACACTATAAACATGAAACAAAAGTAATAAAAGTAATAATAGAAAGCTCCTAGAGCTATGGAATGTCTCACTACTCTTGCAAGTGAAATCATCGGTTAATTGAATGTTATTATCTTGGGTCGTTACGATGTAATTTCCTAATACATATGAAACCTACTCTCATAGTGAATCACCTATACTTATAACTAAGTCATACCTACTCTCATGGTTATGAAATTAATTACAAATTCATTTCTTCTATAAAATTACATGAAACAAGTCACTAAAATCACATAAGTACACCTCTACTCTTATGAGTGTACTTCCTAGGTTTAACACTTTCTTGAACTAGTGTTAAATTTTAACTCTCATTGCAAACTTAACACCTTAAGATTTTCACAATTAATGGGCAGTTAATCATGATTAGATAAGCAAAAGTGTTAAATAACTTGTTCAAAATAATATCATCAAATAACCAATTAAACATCACTAACAAATTATAGAAAGTTCATCCATAACTCTAGCCATAAACTTTAGTAAAACATGAAGAGAATGAAAGAAAAGACCATACTTGTATTATAGTTAAACATGAACTCAAATACAAAAAAGAAAGTGATAGGAGAGAAGTCACCTTTGTCACATGAGTTTCAATTCTCCATCTTGTTCCTTAATCTTCATCCAAATCTAGCTACACTAATTATACTATACTAATGAACTAAGAAAAACTAGTGAAGACTGCATTTTTGGTAGTGCCTTTAGCCTTCCAAAGTTATGAAAAATGTTCTCTAAGACACCTATTTATAGAGAAATTCAAGCAACAAATGAGTTGTTAAAGTTAGTGCTAGTTGTGTCTTGAGATTCCCAAAAGTTGTTTCTCCAAAATTTCAAAATGCCTCTTGCACTTTCCAGCTAAAATCCATTCAGAAAATTGGTTCAAAAGTAGTGGGAAAGAACCGCAAGTTGAAGTGCAACTAATTCCAACCGTAAAGCAGCAAAAATACGAATATGCACCCTCAAAACACGGGCTAAGGTCGCGTATTGGGTCACGAATTGTCCTCTCGTGCAGGTTTTCTCATTTCTAATCAGTCTTCAACTTTGCTCCGTTTTTGCACCAAATTCCACTGATATTTTCTTGATGATAGAAGCTGAACTAGCTCTTGTGCAAAACATGAAAGTTGTAACCTTTGAGTTAGCTTTCCAACGCTTTAAGAATAATCCA